ACACACTGTTTCTGAATAACACCAAGTTGTTTTCATGATTTGTATCATAAACTTGAATATAGCATAAATGTCTCTTTACGATAAATACACTCTCTTACTAAGTATTGTGGTATATGGGTGTATCAGCATACATAGACACACCACTTTAAAACAGTTTTAAAATACATGAATCTGAATGCTACACTTCACCTCTTCATGCTTGGAGCATATGTCAGGGTTCACTGACTGACTCATTCCTCCTTGTTCTCTAGCCAGGCTTTTGTTTCACTCCCAAGGTAGTACCCCACCAACAGAGCTGTGTTTTGATGTAGCTGAGATAGAATCTTGATATACAACATAGTCAGGCATCAAACTCATCATCTTCCTACCTTTGCTGACAGAATGGTAAGATTACAAGCATTTGCTACTAAGCAAGGCTTTCTCTTACTATTATAAACAGTTCAGACTTTACAACACAGATTTCCCTAAGGTTCTTCCTTTTTTAAAAAAAAAAAATCATAAATGGCCTACTTGAACTTCATTAAGATATCATCAAATCTACTGGTAATTATAATATTCCCTATCAAATTGGGTGGAATATGACTTCACGTCTTAAGTATTCTTTAAGACCTCTTGAAAAGTAGCTGGGTGGTAGTGGCGCACACCTTTAATCTCAGCTCTTAGGAGGCAGAGGCAGGCAGATTTCTGAGTTCAAGGCCGCCTGGTCTACAAGGGCTAGTTCCAGGACAAGCCCCATAGCTACAGAGAAATTCTGTCCCGAAAAACCAAACCAAACCAAACCAAAACAAACAAACAAACAAAAAAAACAACAAAAGAATCAGCCTTCTTAAAAAGTGCTTCTTTTGAACGATTTATATATTAATATCTATTTCTGCACCTTGCTACATTAATAACAGGACTTTTGCTGTTTTTCTAAGTTTTGCTTTTTAATGAAAATTTCATAATAAAATTTTCAGTGCTTCACTTAGCTTTTTATAACTTTCTATGCAATTCTGGATTTTAAATATACACTGTTTCAGCCATTAAGAGAGAAAACTGCATTCTCTCTGGAAGACATCACATCTGTTTGTTTCCTTTTGTTCTTTTATTAATTTGTACAGATTTACCCATTAAAACAATGCTTACTAACAACAAAAAGAGAACTCCTTTTCTCCTGAACAAAATCAAAACAGATAATTTTGAATAGGAGCAATGTATTAAAAGGATAGAAATGCTAAATATTTTACTATGGTTGCACTATTTACTTATTACAAGATTGAGCATTTGTGTGTTTATCTATTAACTGTGTTACAATTGATATAAAATTTTCAATCATAACATGAATAAAGATAACACTTTCCATTCTTATTTTTTGAGTGTATAAAATAGGACTAAAATAATTTATTATTTAAGCATTTTATGTAGAGCCATATTTTAAATAAAATATAGTATAATATTCTCCTTTTATGTTAGTTTTTGGGTTACTTTTCAGTTGTCGTCTGCCTGAACAATGCATCCTCACAGTTGCTTAATAAACCTTCTGTTGTAAATTCGTCCACTGTATGTTTTCATTTCTGTTCATTTTGTTGATAAAGATGGGTAGTGTCGTTTACATTTTATGTTATTTTAATGCAATCTCTCTATTTAATGCTCTAATTTTTATCTTGATTTTTTAAATTTATGTGAATTTAATAAAACTCAGAATTCAAAGAAGTGCATGAATAGAATTGTGGATGCCAAAAACAGATATTATATGCACTTTACATTACCAAACTGATTAATAATCTTTAGATACATGAAGATATTTTCATGGTTATTTAGTGTGATAAAAATATCTTTTATTCTGTAATCTTTATTTTCCTAGAATACATCCCAATCCTTCCATTTAATTCTAATATGTTATTAAGTATCACATTTAGTTCTGGACCAAAAATCATAGCAAGATCAATTCCTACTTAACTTTGAATTAAATTGGACATTTTACTGTGATCCATTATACAGTCAGTTATTTTTGGTCAGTATTCCATCAATGCTGCATGTATTTTTATGGCAAGATTTTTTGACATGTTAATTATCTCTTGACACTAGTACTATGTTATTTCCCAATAGTATCTTTTCTCATCGATACCCCAGTGCCATCCAGTTGCAGTTTGGGATAAGCTATGGCAGCAGAAACCACAGTGCTGAGATTGATCTATGTGAAAACAGCACTGCACTATAATGTGCCTTGACTGTGGATTGGTAACATCTCTCTGAGTCTGTGAGATTCTGTATATGGAATCAGAGACATGAGCTGTGAGAAATTCTGTATCTTCAGTAAGTGATACCTTTGTAAACTCCACCAGCATGGTTGTATCTGTGTACACCCACCAAATTTACACTCAGGAAGCGTAAAGGAGTTAAATGTGTTTCATCGGGCTTTCTGCGGCAGCTAGAAAGACATTCCTTTTAAGAGTTCCTAAGCTCTTTTGAGGTGGGGGCAGCCTGATCTGAATCCCTCACAAAGCAAACGTTTGTGAGGCAAGGGGGCTTTTGTTCCCCAGAAGAGCTGGCCTGGAATTATAGTCTTCTTGGGAAAGAAGATGAGAAAAATTCACTTGGCTTTGGTGGCTGTGACATCTGTTATTAACCTCTTTCTCAATGACCTGATGAGTGAAAAAGGAATTTTGATTTTTCAAAAGCATCTTGTTATTTCCCCATTATGCATCTACTATAAAAAATACTCTTGCTGTTTGGGATTCTTAAGCAAGTAAATCGAACACATTTAGTTTTAAGTATGATTTTATTTCTGCTGGAAAAACTCTATTAAAATTATTAATGTAAGGCTGATAGACACTACACCTATATCCTACAAAAATAATCTCAAATTAATTTTTACTCCAAATTCCAAAAATTCATAAAAGAAAAACCTAGAATATTCATATTTAGGTAATAGCCACTTGGGATGAGAGACATGCAGATTCCACATAATTATAAACCCCTTTAAATGTTTTATGCCTTTTCCCTACACTGCTCTTTCTTGTTCTGCACAATTATCATATAAACTGATAACACTGCACCCATTTCTCCTATGTATAAACTGAGGTAGAAGACACAAGTACTCACTTTGATGGCATGGCTGGTAAGAGACTTAACCGGGCCTCTATTGCCCTATAATCTGTCTTCTATGCCATTTTTCTACTAGGTTTCAAGCAATAATAACTATTGAAATTAATATGACTTCCTATTTCAACACTCAATGAATAAAATTCTGTAATTTCATGAGGCTGTGCAGTGTACATTAGGAGACAGTCCAGAGCCTTTGAAGCTTAAATCGATGCCCCATCAGATCTTAACTAGGGAAATTCCTTTGAGGGCTGACAGTCAGCAGTCCTTGATTCAAAGTGCCCCATTTGGTCACATTCTTTGTGGCTTATCTGACACACTCCCAACTCCTAGCCGGTGGGAAAACACCTAGCTGTCCAGGGACTTCCTAACTGTTGTTTTGCTTGGAATTAAAGAGGAAAGAATAACCAGGTGGTGGTAGTGCACAACTTTAATCCCAGCACTCGGGAGGAAGTGGCAGGTGGATCTCTGTGAGTTCGAGATCCGCCTGGTCTACAAGAGCTAGTTTCCAGTACAGGCGCCAAAGCTACAGAAAAACCCTGTCTCAAAACAACAACAAAATAAAAAAAAAGGGGGGGAGGGATTATGGCATATCTCACAGGGCTACATAGTTTCAGAGTACCAGAAGAGAGGGCATGCTACAATACAGAAAGCTGAGCTACACTGTAAACAAAAGACTGAAACACTGTGCTATGCAATTCAGACAGAAACTACAAGACACCCCATTTTGTGGAAACTTGTCCATGCCCTGCTGCACCTGGCTGATCAACCCATGTGTACAAGATGCACATTAATTAAGCCACACACTTTTTCTGAGTGTTAATATGAGCAGGTAGAGGTAGCAGAGCCATCTAATCTCAAGTGTCATGCAAATGTATTGCTTGTACTCCATTCTTGCTGTAAATGCTTTTCCCAACTCATTTATTTCATCTCATAGGAAAAATTATAAGTGCCAAGCAAGGTAGTTCTGGAAAGCGTACTTCAAACTATGCTTTGTAACAAAACACAAATTCTGCATGTTGGCTTTGTTACAGTCAGAACATGGTGCAGAGCAGAAAATGAAGACTCACAGTATAATCTTGAGCAACTTCAGTCAAGAAAAATGCACTCTGTTCTACAAAATTGGGAGGTTTGAAACTGTACTGTTTAGTGATTGCATAAAAAAACATTTTCATTTCCTAAAAGATACAGTAAAACTTTCCAGTGGACACTTGAACTATGCGGCCTCTGTGACCTAGTCACTTGCTTAATGTGGTCACACAGGGTGAAAAATAGGAAGATACATATTCTAGGTTAATTACAGTTTATTGTTTTTACATGTTTCTCCTCCTGCAGTGTGTAATAGAAACTTGGTCTTTTATACTGACAATATTTGCAGTTACTTTACCCCCAATCCTCCTGATTTTTTATTTTAACTATAATTGTGTATTTTAAGTAGAATGTAGTTTTATTTAAAGCAAGTAAAATCAACTTGAATTTTTAAAAAATGGCTTCATATCAAATTATGGCTTATTTGTATTAAAAGATTTCAGGATTTTTGTTTAACATTTTTAAAGTCCTATGCCTCACTTTTAAATTTCCACTCTTAAATTCTGTTTTCAATATTTTCATTTTCTCTGATGGTCTTAGAATTTTTATTATGAAAACCTTTCATCAAAATACTTTGTTTGTAAAGTATAAAAAGACCCAGATATTTGAGATATGACTAGAAACAACTGTGTATTTGAGTTCAGGAATTGTCACCGTTAAGAAAAATGAGATGATGACTACATGCAAAGGCACATAGGTTTCGTGGTTATTAACAGAGAAGCTGTTAATGCTGCCATAAGAAGTATCAAAGTCACGCTTCATAAGTCCCTTAGAAAGAGTCCAATACACATAGCAGTCATTTTTATTAGGTGCTAATCACTGACATCAGTGCAGGGGAAGAGAAATTATCCACACAATTCACACACAGTCCATACACCTAGACTTTAACATTGGGCTTTCATTTATGGATTTATTTCATTACTTCAAACATATATATTATAGTGTATATCTGTTTCCAAATACATCTTTGTGTACATATACGCATATATATCATTCTTAAATATATATTTCCAAATATAAATAATTTCACATCAAGCCAAACAGGATAAAAACATGTAAACATATGCACTTCATTTTGGTCAAGTAAAACAGAACCACAAAGTAACCACAAGTTAACAAGTGCACTTGAAAGAGAAGGGAAAAAACAGACATGTAAACAAACACAGACAGCAGCTGCAAGGCCCTGTAAGCGTCCATTTTTTTAAGGCTATATAGCAAAAAGCTCATAATTCAGTTAAAGACTTTTGTCACCTTGTCACATTTACTCTTAAGGGACTTCACAATGAGATACTGTAAACACTAGACTAGAAGTGATTGAATCCTGTTGGAAAAAGACACCACAATTCATCAGCTGACAGAAATATTAATTCCACCAAACAATACTTTTAATAACCTCTTGTTATTTTATAACACAGAATAACATCACAATCCTAGTGAGAAGAAAAGGGAAATAGAGGGAAAAACAGCAATACTGCATAAAGATTGCCTCAACAGCCTTTGAAAGCAATAGGTTTGTCAGTCGATAAAGGGAAATAAGCAACAGCAGACAACAGAGCCTTAGCAGACTAGACCACGTGCCACAGCATGATACTACAGATTCAAACTGAAATATTCTTCCAGCTGGTACTGAAGCAAGAGCCAACGGTTATCAGAGAAGGAAGAATTGCCTCTCAGGCAAAGCAACTTCTTAAGCAACTGGTTGGCCAGGCGAAGCACAGCAAACTCCTTTTTTCGGCTTTTAAGCAGCACTTTTCCCTCTCGCAACTGCACAGGCTCCAAAACTTGATGCCAGTATGCATTTGACGATCCACCACCATCTGGCCTCGGAGGCTCATCTCTCCAGCCCTCAGGGTATTCATGCTTGTAAAAACAATATTCTCCAAATGGGCAGTAACCTAAGCCTCCAGCAAAATACCTGCAGGCTTTCTGGCTCATTCCCTCCTTATATTGCTGAACAAGTTTCTCCTTCTCCTCTTCTTCCTCCACCCAGAACTCACTAGGAATGACAAAGAAAGAAGAGACCCTGCATTGTGGGCAGGACTTACTGATTCTGTTCTCAAACTGTGTGGCACTTCTCCACCTGCGGATACACCTAAGACAGTAGGTGTGGTTGCAGCTGAAAAGGATGCCAAAGCGGCGGTCGCTGGGGTCGGCTTTCTCATAGACAACCTCCATGCAGATGCCACACACTTTGTCCATGCTGCGCTGCACAGCAAAGGAGAGCTCCATATCTCTCTCATGTGCTTCAACGCAGGCCCGCCTATGAGCTTCCTGCTGGGCTGCATCCCAAGGGTGCAAGGCCTGCTGCCCGCACATGTCGCATATTTCTCCATGGGGGTACGCACAACTCTCCCCACGGAGGCATTCTCCCCGGGCAGCATAGCGGCAAAGCGGGAGCGGCATTGGCACTGGCATCGGCATTGGCATTGGCACTGGCATCGGCACTGGCACTGGCATCGGCATCGGCATCCCCATGCCTATAGCCATGTGCTCTCTCTCAAATTCCGGGCTCTGCGGAAAAGCCTCGAAACCATGTGGGGGGATCATGCGACCTCGGTAGGGCTGTCCTGGAACAAACTCAATTGCTCCCTCCCAGCCTTCAGCACCCGCTCCTCCCGCAGCGGCTGCAGCTAGGCCTGCATTGTCAATCTCTGCTTCAGAGAAGCCCCCTTCAGCAGCTGAGCCAATGCCTGCATTGTCAATCTCAACTTCGGGGAAGCCCCTTTCAGCAGCCGAGCCAATCAGAGGCAAAAAGCTGGAGGATGCAGTAGGGGGGGCTTCCGCCACTTCCTGAGTCGGGGGCTCCCATTGAGTGGCCATCTTGGGCCCTCTATCTGCAGAGGCCCCAGGCTGGGAATCTTGCCCCCCCCTAGCTTTGCGCCGCCCAGAGAGATCGTGAGAGTAACGACAGTTATCGCCCTCCTTGCACTGCCCATGCAGATAATACCTGCAGAGGATTTGCTTGGTCCAGCTGCCACTGTTCCGCTCAGAACCAGACCTGGCTCCGCCCCCTGCGGCTGGAGCTGGCCTCAAACTCGCTGCGCGTCGGTCCGCTGACGCAGGAGCCATACGGAGCGGTGCCAAACCCGACGCCTCTTGCACAGAGGCTGAGCTGACTGCTCCAGAAGCTCCGGAGGCCTCAAACTCTGGAAGGGGGGGACCAGACAAACCCTCCCCTCCCTCAGCACCTGCCTCGGCTCCAGCGGCCTCGTAGGGCCTCATGGGAGCTGCAGACTCTTCCATTTGTATTCCCTGCCCCTTACTCTGTCCAAAAAGTGTAATATTATATCTATTTTGTGTCTGAATCGGCGGAGCCGGAGCTGGAGTGATCTCCGCGGCTTCTCGGCAGGAAGTGCACCAATTTTTGTCTTCCCATCGGAAACCGGCTCCCTGTGAACTTTAGTTCCGACCTGATTTTCAGATGGGGGACACTTCCGGGTGTAACACCAACTTCCGGTTAGCACCGGAAATGGCCTCCGCCATGTTTTTCCCGCGCCGATCTCGGCTAGCGGAGCCGCCGGCGTGTGTCTGAAGCCCCCGGCCCCCGTTTGCACACCCGGTCCCCTGGAGGTTGATGTGCAACCTCTGCTGCTTTCGGTTGTACGCGTCCTCTTTGATTACTTTCGTTTTGTGCCAGAAGACGCTACAATCGTTCGCCTTTGCCCACGGCGGCTCCCGGCTGCCGGAGCTTTTTAAAAACATTTCTTATCGGCTTCACGAACGGATTTCTCGGTGGATTTCGCCTCTCGCCGGCGGGCGACTGATTTTTAAAACGCAGCCGTGCCCCGCCGAAGCGCAGCTTTTCTGCACAGGCGGCGGCGCGCACGGCGGCGCGTCTAGAAATGACAGGATCGTTCGGGTGGCGCGTCTAGAAATGACAGGATCGTTCGGGGCTCTTTCTTCCCTCGAAGGGTTAACGTGACCGGGCGCGCTTTAATTAGGAGGGAGCCCTCTGACTGAAGCTCCCAGCGCCTTTCAGATGCCCGCCTTTGTGGCTTTTATTTTCGCCCCCCAACAGTGTAGAAGCTGGGGCTTTGAGCGGCATTGACGATGACGGGGTTTTAACTTTTCTTTCGCTGCATGAAGACCCTTTGTTTGCCGCCTTTCTTTTCTATACAGAGACTTTCAGAATGCCGGCCTTGCACCGTTAAGTGGCTCATTCCCGTTTCCACACCGATTATTTTTTTCTGTCATTTCGCATATGTATTCTCTCGGGCTAATAATTTTACACGTATTTTTAAAATGCTAAGTGTATTTACCGTGGTCACATACTGACTTTTAGAGTGTAGTTTTATGTTTTTTATCGTAATAATCATGCTTCCTTCCTATCCCCACTTGTTTATTAGAACATACAATGTTTCAAATATTTAATTTACTATTCTTATTTCTAAAAATAGCGTTTTGCTTGCCAAAACAATTCTATTAGAAAAAAATCTTAAACCCTAAATTTAAAGAAACTATTAAATGTCTATGATATACTCATCCAAGTCAAAGTGTAAATCACTACTAAATAAAACCAATAAAACAATACCACGCAAGGAAGAATATTATTAAACAATAAAAATAAGAAAATCAGGGAAATGAAGCAAAATAACGTGAAATAGGATAGAATAAGCTTAAGGATTATTGAGCAAATTATTAAGAAAAATAGAAAAGGTTCAGATCTCAACTATCACGTTAAAAGAGCCAACAGCAATTAATAATAAACTTTGAAGCCATGGAATGTTTTCAGTACCAATAATTTATAACAAACCTAAGAATGATCATATGATATTAAATAAAAGTTTTGAGCATGAAACATACAACTTTTCATTTAATGGTTATATATCTAGAAATGTACATTAGACAATGTATCAGAAACAAAGGTAAAGATCTATTAATTAAATTGCAGATGTGATTTAAAAAATCAAAGGAGTTATAAAACTTACTTGGAAATAAACATAAATTTTGAAATGCTTGTGTTGTTTTAAAGCCTCTACTTATACAACAGGGCAAGCAAAAGCATAAAATAGGTCAGAATCAAAAAGTAACAGTTCGTTAACAGGTGGACATTGATAATGTTGTAGAGAAAAACTATGTGTTTATACACAAGTTTGGGAAATACACTGTGTAGAAATTCAATAAAGAAAAATTTCTATACCGTGTAAACAGATGTAAATGACCCTTAAATATTTATGGACAGCATTTATGGTGATGAATGTTGTTTGTCCTGTGAACTTTATTGTGCCCAATTGAAAGTCAATTTTAGTTAGACGTATGATCCATATTTAATATTTTTAAAGGCTAACTTCTTAATTGATAGCCATGTTTTCTCTCAAGAATCAAGGAACTCTTAGTTGTATGTCCTTTGACCTTTTCATAGACATTGTGAATTTTTTTTTTGGATATTGGCTTTGTCAAAACTTCACACATCTAACCTGTCTAGAACATACTTTCTCTTTAGACTTCAAGCTATATGAGTTAATGAGGACTCTTTTATCAGTCCAGGGAAATTTTAAACATAAAAAGCTTATGGTATAGATCTTAGCCTTATATATCAAATTACCCACAATTCACAAATGTAATAATATTGACTATTTCAGATCTCATGCCTATTTGTTCAGCAGTAATTTACCCCAAATACTACATATAAATTACACTGGACTTTTTATATGCCATTAGAAATTACTGTGAACAATTTTTAGGTATGCTTTCTAGTTCACTAGCCTCCTTTTACTTCTGAAGAACTGAAATATAGCTTAAGTTGCTCAGGATCTCCATTTTAATTTTTAAATTATAATTCAGACAACCACTTTAGACTAATACCCACTATATTAAACAGTTTACTTTAGTGTTGACATTAAGCACACTGTTTCCTCAAACTTTAAGGAATGGAAATATAATCAAAATGTATCCTAATATTATCAGGGCTTTACTGCTAGTGCTGGATGTTATGTGCTTTTGTATTCCCAACTGTTTGGCTCTCAGTCATGTGTATGTTGCATCTTCTACTTCATAGTGACTATACATGTAATAGTGCTATTTTGTAATATTATATTATAAATTAAAGTCATATATTGAAATCTTTAAAATCCCACAGTAGACCATTGACTGTAAATACCAGTTAGGGTATCTTGACACATATAAACAGCTATTTTATATATTGGACAAATTACTACATACAGAGAGAGTACTTTCTCTGACCACCTGAATCCACATTCCTTTTATTCCCTTCTTTGATCATTATCTCCTCTGTTTGTTTACTTATTTTAGCATTGATATATTCACACAGTCTCAGAAAACATACCTCTGATTGTTTCTTCAGCAGAACTGTCTTTTCTCAATTAAACCCAGAAGACCTCAGGGGATGAGCTTCAAGGAAGGGTCTCCAGAATGTCAGCAATAGGATATCCAAGTGGAGCAAGGAAGAGCACAGCTCTGGGCAAGGCTGTGTGAAGAACCATGCGACTAGGGTACAGACTGACAAGGGCAAAGGTGGAAGTTGAAGACCCTACACAGGAGAGGGAATGAGTAGACAGCTTGACAGATAGCTCCAGACACTGGAGCCTGGACTGTGGGACTGTGTGGAAAAAGCAGCTGTCCCATGCCTTTCTTCCCTAGCCGCAGGGCCGCTGAGCCCACCCCCACACAGAGCCCACCCCCACACATTCAACATGTCCACAGTTCAAAAGAACACAATAGCCTTAATGCAACTTCTTTTATCACACTGCTGTGCTCCAAGTACTCTTTCAATGGTACTGGACAGGCAGCTGGGTACAGGGATTAAAGGTCTAGTTGAGCATTATGATTTCACGTCCTCCACTATTTAACTGACATCTTTGTGTCACAAGTGTTAATTTTACACTTGTACAGTGTTGAATCAGCAAAGGGGTGCTAACAGTGATAATAAAAACTGAGCCAGGACGGTGGTGCATGGCTATAATTCTAGCACTAAGAGTGGAATTGAGAGCAATCCCATGAGTTTCAGGCCAGCCCTAGCCTGTGTTATATAGTAAGACCTTGCTTCAAAAAAAAGAAAATAAAAGCAAATAATGACTGCTTGACAAGTGCCTGTAAGTATTAATTTATTTCATGCACAGAAATGAAATTATTTGAACAATACCAGGGCCTAGAGCCAATGTTTCAGAAATTTACACATATTTTCTCGAAATTTAAAAGGCTCTTTTGTGTAATTCTAGTTCAAAAGTTTAGATATGGGCATCTTTCTTCATGCAGGCGGGCATTTGTCTCTCTGTTACTGGGATGGCCATGGGATTATGATAGGGATCAGAATCGGAATTCATGGGTGGCTGACTGGGTAAAATAAGATCACTTATCATATCTTATTGTCAAAATCGCTCACAGGTCTGTGTGTGCTTTTGTGTGGCGTGTGTGTGTGTGTGTTGCCATAGAACACATTATAGGTCAAAGGACAACCTCTGATATATATCCTCAACTTCTACTCCATTTGAAGTAAGATCAATTTGTTGTCCAATCTTTTGTCTGCCACACTGTGGCCTATCAGCTTTTGTGTAGTCTCAAGTCTCCACCTAAGTATAGGAGCACTGTAATCACAGACAGGTACTTTTGTCCTGGACTTTAAATGTCATTTTGTGAACTTGAACTCAGATACTCACAATAACATAATTTAAGGGTTTTTATCCACTGAGCCATATCTTCAGCGTTCAAAGGGTCTTTTAATTTCAGTATGTATGTAGAAGAGGATTAAATAATACTGTAGCCATTTACATGCAAGTCCAGCCAAGTCATATTCATTATGATAACAAGTACACTGATTTGTGCATAGTATAATCAGCATTGATAATTTCACTAAAACTTTTGTAGGCTTTTTAAAGGTTTTTTATGAAGGACTCTTTAATGCAGGCTTAAGCATAAGGGTTAGGATGAAAAGGTGCTCATAAGAAAGTAAGACACAGCTAGGAACGTGTGTGGGCTTCTCAGAGATTAGTTGTGTGGGCTGTTCTACACATGTAAAATTAAGCTTCATGCACATGTTGTCTTGGTCATATTTTTTGCATCTTATACACCTGTAAAATATTATCAGAATTCAGTTTAAAAGGCCAGTTTCTGTGAGGCCAATATTTCCTGTCAAAACAAAGGAATAAATGAACAACATAGTGAAAATGCATGAAGAATGTAGAACCTACCAACATGAGTACAATAGACTTAAAAATCAAAGGGAATCAACTAAAATCACATATGAGTATAAGAGAAAGTCACAAAGTATTTTCATTGCATGAGTGGTAAAAGATTTATGATGTGCCACAGATAAGCACATCATAAGGAAGAAAAAAAACTGCATAAAGTAGAAAAAAAGCAAGTGAAAGAGCTAGTACCGGGG